ATGACTGAAAAACCGATTTAGTGCACTAAAACTCACCCAGACCTCTCTTGCATTTCCACTTCATTTGGCCGACAGGAGCTGAAGCTGAAAATGTTAAAACCTGGCTTTGGTCTCCCATGTTGCAGGGCGGCTGCTTTGGCGGCTGGGCCTTTCTGCCGAAGCGCAGCGCGGGGCCCGCAAGGCTGACACCGGTGCCCGAGCCCGATCGTAACGTGCTTCTGTCCCAGTAGCAGGTGAACGTAAATTAGGAACAACGATGTTGCATAAAAGACCGGTTACTGCAAATGAGGAATCGACACGGAAATTCGGATCGGCGTCTCCAAATGGAGGCGAGACAAAATACGCTGCTTTGCGTTGCAGGCTTCGTGCCGTGCGGCTTACAATGCACCTCGCTTTCCAGTAAGAAGTTGTCATGTTGGGCAGGGAAAAATCAGGGTCCCTGCTTGTCTGTAACTGCTAGAAAATATCCCCAAGTTAAAAAAATAGGGGAGGGCAGGAGGGGAGAGGAGTGAAAAGAAAATTCCAGAAATGTAATTCAATCAGGTGTGGTCAAAAGCACGGTCTCAAAGAAAGCCCTTGGGGCAATTAAACACAGAATGGAAGGGCTACAGAATTTGGAAGTCTCTCTGCGACTTAAATTATAGATGGTTTCCAGGAGTTTCCTTAATAAAATTTGTCTATGGAGAAAATATTGGTGTCAGTGAGGGGAAAAAATCTGATTCACGGAAAATGGAAAAGAGAAAGGCAGCTTCAACCAGGAGTTAGTCATCAATCTATTTCTTAGACAGAGTCTTGGCAAAATGCATTCTCCTGGTGGAACTTGCCTGGAGTAGACCAGATTGATTTGACAGTCTCTTAGCCTAATAAATGCTTGACCTCAAGGTCTGCTGAATTCACTAAATTCACTATGCAGAGAGAATTGGGAACCAATCACCTCTGGGGAACATCCTGTCCTGCAGCCCTCCCCTGAGAAAGGCCTTGACTGCTTTCAGCCTTACCGAGACGACTAGATGAAAGCTGCTCTCAGAAGAAGAAAGGTTAATCGACTACGCTGCTGTTAATCAATCACTTGGAAGGATTCAGCACTTACAATAGGTAGGTCCCTCTTCCTGCCAAGAGGTTCTTGCATGTTAACCAGCAACCATCTCCTCCAGTTTGAAGGATGAGTAATAGACAGAAACACAATCCAGATAGATGCCAGGTGTCTGATCCAAAGCCAGCCGAAGTCAATAGAAAGACTCCCAGTGAGTTCAATGGGCTTGGATCAGACCCCGGAGAAAGACTTATCATCCAAGGTTTATTCTGCATACAGATACTGAGCTACTCTTAGTAGTGGAGGATCCTTGAAAAGAAGCGAACTCATCACACTTTTGCCTCCCTGTGAAATCAAAGTTCTTCAAATCGCACTGCGTCCCATTTGCCCCGACTGTCAGATGTGGCTGCCATCCAGCAAAGGAAAATCCCCCGCCTGTGACAGCACGGACAGACACGTATACATTTCAAAATCTCTAAAGAGTACAGAAGGAAAAAAATGCCAAACCGCTAATGTTTTCCTGGCCTTTCTGTAATTGCCGCTAGCCAAAATGATAGCTTTCTTGGAAGAGGAAAAGCTAGATCAGTTTCTGAAAGGATGAAGGAAAATTGAGGGAATAAAATTAAAAAGAGGGAATAAAATTAAAAAGATCCCGCTGTGGAGAATAACTGGCAGTATGCAAGGTGAAGCTGACAGAGCCAGAGAGAAAAAAAAACAGGAGAAAAAGCGTGCTTAGAAAGTTCCCCTGCAGGTTAGGTATTTCTCTAAATTAACAGCTCCAACATCCACTGGTGGCAAAGCAGTGACTACCCTCGAAGCCCGTCTGAACGGAGGCAGAGCGCCTCAGCCTGCTGTTACAAACCCAGGCCCTCGCATCCCGGTGCGGAACCATTTGAGAAGACGCCTGCTGCACCACACGGCCAAAGAGTCGCAGGGCGAACAGCCGAAGCCAAAAGGCACACACCGTTACAGCAGCTACAGCTCCATGTACCAGTTTATCGCTTATTGCAGAGTCTGGTACGGACTTTCGCTTCCTCAAGGCATTGCTTGTGGTATCTTCTCACTACCAGCCTTTACCCACGGCAGACTCTGGCTGAACTTAGGCCAGCCTTTACTCACCTGGCTCCATCGCGGCCAGAAGGCTTCAAATCCTGGAACAAAGCTGCTGGCTTAACATTTTTGCTTTAGGAATAACCCAGTTTTCACTAGAGGCAGACACCTGAAGTGGAGAATGACAGACGGGTACCACGGGCTGCATCTGTCCTAGCCGGCGAGGAGGCAGCAGGTCCCTCAGAAGGCTGGAGAGCAACCCAGACGCAGTGGCTGCTCTCTGCTCATCTAGGAGTTCATGGCACTACAACACATGCCAGGTGATGGACCTTTCCTCCTTATGCAGTGACAACAGGTCAAAGAGAATCATCTGAGGTGCACTATCTATCTGGTTTCCATGTGCTCCAAGAAAACGCTTTATCTGAGGCAGGACAGCTGTCTGAAATGGAGCCATGTTCTTTGCCAGGAAACAGCTGTGGTTGCTGCCAAACCAATTCCTTACTCTTCCCATTGCTGGCTGAAAAAAAACCCCAAAAGACAGATCCTGCACCCACATCCAAAAGGAAGGACTGATATTTGGTGACACTTTTCCCTTTGGTTCAATTGATAATAACCAGCACTGCAAGTAAAGCAGGGCAGATATCACTAAAGAGTGAAGGTGCCTGTCTATTCCATAAGGAAAGCTGACAAGAAATTCCACGTACAAACCAAGAACTAGATTTAAGAGTTACAGCAGCTTCCTTTCCCAGAGCAGACTCTGGTATAGCAGCCTTACAAATCTGAAAATTTCAGCCTAACTCCATAGTCATGCACACTGCATGAAAATACACAAGCAGCAGTCTTCCAGGTAGCACTCTGTTGTCAGAGTCTAAAATTTGTCATCTACACCTTTGTATCAAAATAATGTCAAAATTTAACAACCTGCTAAGATAAATGGGAATACTCTGTGGCTTTCCAGCTCTTGTTTCATGTTCCTGCAGGTACAGATTCATGAAAACGATGCCTTATCTTCTCATGTTTGAAACGGCATTTTCGCAGCCATAACTGCTATTTTTGAACAAGATTCTGTTATTATATACTTAACGGTATTGCAGCAATACCAGCAGGTACTGTTGTGTCTGCCATGCCACCAGTATACACCGAACCACGCTCCCGTGCAGTTCTCTTGCCAGTGGTGGATCCTGCTGTAGCCACAAAACTGAGAAGGGATCCAGAGAAGTGATATATTTAATCTATGATGAATTATGCATCTCTTAACCCACTGTGGGCGAGCGTAAGGCACCCGCAGCTCGGTACCAGTGACGCAGCAAGGAAGTACGAAGGTTACTGCCTCATTGATTTCTCCTTGCGTGGTCTGGAACAGTATCCTACAAGGCTTAACTTGCATGAACTTGGTTGCACTGAATCTGAAGACAAAAACTCTCCTGCCTAAAAGGAGTGGCAAGATGGATGGCAGAGAAATGGAAGGAAATGTCCAAGTGCTTTATCGACCCAACTGAAATCCTATGAATGGTAAGCAATAAAAATTTACCGAGAAATAGAAAAGTTCTTACTTACCCTTATCACTGCCCCCCAAGTTATTAATGGCACAGAAAAATGCAAAATCCCCTTAAACCACGTATTTAAAAATCTTGCAATTTTATTTGCATATAAAGGCCGCTAGATATAATATCACAATAAATTTAAAGAAACAACTGCTTTTCTAAATTCCATTAACAAGGTAACATAAAACAGAACAAAGCTCAATAGCATTTACAGTGGTAGAACAGAAATAACTATCTGCAACAATATTTTGTGCTAGCGAGATTGCATTTACACACAGTGCAAAATAAGAAAAAGGAAATAAAAAGACAAGAATAATATTTAAATATAAAGGACAACTAAGCCTTATTTTAGTTAGGCTTGATTGTATCCATTTGACTCTATACATGCCTGAACTACGACAAAGATTTAACTCGGGCTCTTGAAGGCCTTGAGCACTTGGAAAATGTGTCACATCCTTCATAATTTAGATGTCCTGTACAGCATAATTTTGCAGATGCTATACTGGCAATATTAAATCCTAGCTTAGTTATAATGCACAAAAAATACATATATATATAAATTCATATTTAAAAGGAGTCCGCATTTACATTTTTTTTACTGCATGAAATACCTGCTCTTTGCAGCTTTCACCCCCAGTCTTTTAAAGCTAAAATAATTTAAAAACAAACAGTAAAAGATAGACATCACATACAGGCTGTGGCTATCTATATCGGTCTTTAATGTATAAAGCAGGTAGAGACAAACAACTGAGAAGTCTATTCTCCCCTCGCTGCATTCTACTGTTAATAGAAACAAGTTTCAGTACATGCACACATGTCAAGAGGTAAATGGACCCCAGAATATTGTTTGTGCTACTAAAAAAATTCGATATAAATGGAGATGAACAGCTAACATTTAAACCTAGGGAAAAAGAAGACACTTAAAAAACCCCGACAATAACGTATGTTGTGCAAATTTGGGTGTTTTTAAATGCTGCCTATTTTTTAAGCTTATAACATAATATTAAAATAAGATCTTTCACTTATTAAAAGAAAGCTTGGCTGTCCTTTTGAGAACACTATAACAATTTACAATGGCAAATTTATTGAAAAACAAAATTAATTTTACAAATTCACAATGTTTTATCAATTTAAAATGAATGCTGCATTTCCAAAAAGCACAACCTCTAACTTTTCTTCTTGTTTCTCTTGTACCAGCAATTTACAAAAAAA